TTTCAACTAAGCCTTGCTGCTGTTATACTGTAAAAAGGAAGAAGTTGTGAGTTGACTACTGTATGTTATAAGCATTGTTTTTCTTCTGCTGCTCATTTTCTCTTTTTGCCATTAAGGTGCTTATTATTATTCAGGAGATAAATCTGATAATATAAGAAGGAACATTGCGTGTATCAGCAGTGGATCATTTGGTCATCATATTGCTTCTAGTGGTTTTTACTTGTTTATTTCTTTGATCAGTTAAAAAACACTCAGCCTGTGATTACAGCCTTGGAATTCCTAGAAAATTCCTAGTTATACTTAGGGACCTGTCTCAGAGATTGTATTTAAATCATTTGAAAATAATATTCCTTCTGTACATGAGAAGGATCCATTTTTTTAAAAAAGTTATATTCAGCAAGGCTATAAGTCAAGAAGGCTGCTGGGGAGCTTCTCTTGCTATACTGTGCATTGTCGAGTCAAACAGATTTGTGAGGTCTGCTCCAAAAGTAATGCCTCATGTTGTATTATGTTGGCCCATGATGTTAGAGACAGATGTTGGTGTTATGGAAGGAGAGATGGAACCTCCTGAACAGTATTCCATTGCATGTTGTTGCCATGCAACAGATAGCTGCAGAGGGGCAGTCTGACAGAATGGCATCTGACATGGAAGTACAGATGAAGCAAAAGCGTGTCACTGAATTCCTCTAAGTGGAAAAAATGGCAACCACTGATACTGCTGCTCGGTTTGTGGAGACCAAAATCAGTGGGTGTGAGCACAGTGAACTGGTAGGTGGTGTGTTTCAGCAGTGGCAACAGCAACAGAGGGCACCTCCAATGGTACGGATTGTTACAAGCACAGCAGGCAGGCACTTTTTCATTGCTGGTGGAAACATAGCTATGTGATGACTATATTGAAATACAGTATTTTGCAGCTGAGAATTTTCTCTATTATGTGTTATTTTAGTAGCAGATGTGCTCAACCTTGAGTTAAAGTACTGCTGGTTCATAAGGTTAATAGAAGAATAATAAATACAATGGGAAGGTGTTGAGATTTGCTTATGGTAGGCCTTACGAAAATAGAGGAAATTGGGCAAGAAGGAAAATACCACAACATCTGTGCTTTTTGTCTATAATCTACTTAGTTTTAGAGTTACGATCTATATCATTCTGAAAATTCTAGCAGATATTTTAAAGCTTTAAGTAAAATTATCAGCTGGATGAGAATGCAGGCATAACAAAACAAGTCATTGAGTTGTGATCTATTATCTGTATACCTGGCTATCAGTGTTATGAAAAGGTTAATCAGTGGATCACATACAGCTCTGCTTTTACTTCTATATGTCAAGTTTATTCTTGTATGTTTGATGTGGTTTAGAATACTTCTTTCAATTTCTTACTGAATTAGAATTCAGGGTATATTACCTTGATTTTTTTGGAGATACCTTCTTGCCTTGAGGGCATGATTTCAGTTGTCGTCTTTTCCAGACTTCTTCTATTTAAAGATCTTCAGTGCTTTCTGACTGTCCAGGTAATCAAATTTAATTGCTCCATAATTAAGATTATTTTGGTTGTGAAGCCATATGGAAGAGTTGAGTTAAATCTGTCTATCTTGGGTTATTTTTTATCTTCATATGTTATTTCTAACATTTCGTAACTATTAGTGTTCAAATTTGTATTGTTGAACTTTTTTATTTTTTTATATTGTTGGCTTAATTTTTTTTCAGATGTAATAAATATTACTGTTCATAATATAAATCTGTATAAGACTTTTGACGTTCATCGATGTCTCTAGTTATTGGAAAAATACTTCTGGAGGTATTGTCACTGTATAGATAATATGGAAGTCAGAAGGTTTATTGTTTTGTACTCTTCAGAAGGGTAACTGAGCATTCAGGTTTGATTCCTGTCCTGAACCATATGTATTACTGCTTTAAATGCAGTCCATAATCCATAGTAGGCTGAAAATCCTTAGGCTTACACAAGGAGAGACTCTGAAAGAAAAGTTGATGGATAAGCCGTTCAGCTCCTTCCCAGGAGGACCACTTTGTGCTGGGAAGAAGGATTCCCCTAGTTCACCAATTCAACCTTTCTGTGGAGTGGAAGTGGGAGGCTAACCATCTTTTTGTTGTTGGGAAGGATTTCTCCCATGTTATCAGAACAGGGGGCAAGAGGTATGGATATGGATGTACTTTGCTTTTGCTTTTTTCCCCAGTTCTCAAGGCAGGCAGTGAGAAGACCTTAAAACCTTAAAAGCGTTCAGTTCAGATATTTATCTAATTTAGAATGTGTTTTTCTGTTAGACTGCACTCAGAATTAAATGAAGAGTAAAGACAACTTAAAATCAGGTTCCCAGTGTTTCCTACAAGAAGTAGAGAATGGACATTTTTTTTCCTACTGTCTACTGTCTCCTCCAGGCCACTGATTTCACACATTATGGGCAAGCCTTAATCTTGGCTTTTTCTTGTCTCATCTCAGACACTTCGTGCTTCCTGCTCACCAGCAGCCTTGTTACCTTGAATTACAATGTAGCATACTGCATGAGTTGGAAGAACATAAGTATCAAGAAATCCTTTTTGTTATCTTCCATCCTTCCAACTGTCAGGTTGACAGCAAGTATATCAGCCATTGCTAAAATAAATCCCTGAACTTACTGAACTCCTGCTGCCAAAAAAAAAAAAAAAAAGAACCCTCTTCTGGTCTTAAATACACTACAGCAGTTTACAGTTTTTTCTTCAAATTGTTCTTGGCCTTGGAGGCCATCCAGGTGCTGAGTTGTCTGAGTCTTACCATATCTATTAGCGACTTCAACCTTTTTTCTTCATGCCTTCTCTTATTGATGTCATTCATTAGATTACATCTTTGCTTTAAAAGAGCGCTCTACTGATTTTACCATTCAATTTTTAAGTCTGATATCACTGTTTATTATATTAGAGTAGTGCATAAAGAGACAGTTAGGATCAGAGCCCCATTGAGTCTGGCTCTGGAAAAAATCAGTAAAGGTTTGCATCTGCCCTGAAGACATCACAGTCAGAATGGATAAGAGAGAATAGAAGATACAGATATGTAACATAGCTTCAAAAAGAGAGAATTACAAGTAAAGTCTAAAATATATTTTCTTCATAGCAATTTTTTTTCACTTTCAAGGTTTCTTCTGGTATTTCTGATGGTTCATAGATGCTTGGATTGAGAGTGAAAAATAAAATTTCTATCTTTGAGGCCATATTATCATTATATTCATTTTAATGTCTGTACAGCATCAGTATCTGAGACTGCAGAAACTTAACTGCTTTACTTGCTGGCATTACACTGAAGTTGATTTCGGTGAACCATAAAAAGTTTGGCCCTGAAGGTAAAATTACACTGTATGCATGTTCCTAACATACTGCTTTGGGGATAAACATGTCTTAAATCAACTCATTGCTCACAGCTAAATTCCTTCCCCAAATGCAGTTTCCATGTAGATAGTAATGTTCAGTAAGACTGATTTTCTTTAAAACCATAAACTTTTTTATCATAATTCTATCAATAAACATATCTGAGCAGGGAAGGAAAAAATTCACAGAATCCTAGTAAAGATTTAGTTTTTGTGTAGTAGAGGATTAGTGAAGGCAGGCGACAGGTACAACTTTTTTAATTAGCTTTCATCAGTACCTCTAATTTGTTCAAATATGTTCCAAATGTTTGCATATTATGTTTGCTCACATGTACATAATGAAATCTGTTGAACTTCATTGAAACTTTATTTGGTAGTTCTACATTTGGAAAATTAAAATTGAAGTTTATGATACCCTGGCTCCTACTTGCTCAGTTCACAGTGTGTTGTTAAGATGCCATCACTTGAGAGCTTTTGTTACAGCAGAATTTCTGTTGTGGCTTAATATGCTGTGGGTTCAGATGGCAGTAATTGTGGCCTTGAGCAATTGGACTAAAGAATACCAGGTGGGTTTTTATCCAGATATTCTTAGATTAATAATTCCAGTCTTAGATCTTGTCCTGTCTGGAATTTACATAGTTCCTCAAGCTTTAAAATGAAGGCAAGCACCATTTGAAGCTCTTAATGAGCAGGTTTTTTTCTTCTTTAATTTGTGCCCCCCTTTTTTTTTAAGCTTCAGCAGCCAGTGAAATCCAGGCAGTTACTTCCCATCCATTTTTACAACCCCATGTGGACAAAGCACTTCAGTTTGTTCCTCAACTTAATTTGCAAATTAGTAATAGTTTAAAAGTTTTTCCATCCACATCTCCATTTTCATACAATATATAAGGATGAAAAAAATGTCCCTAGATAGGAGATAAACTTTTGAAGTCTGAACAATTTGGCTAAGTTTGAGGCAGCATTTATTTGGTTGTGACCAGGCTGTGTTGGTTTTTTGTTGTTGTTGTTTATGCTCTTTGAAATAATTCCTTTTGTTTCAAGTCTAAAATTTCAATTTTATTTCTACATGGAGACAAGAGACTTAAACTCCCCCATACTGGGAAATCAGTCAGGGTTTTTTTTCTATTTGGAACACCTTTGACCCATCCCTCCCCAGTTCAATGAATAGAAATGGCAAGGCAACTTGTGCTGAGGGTGACTAAAGATCTGCTCTCCATGTAGCTCATGAAGTGAACCTGCAGGGGACAGGGTTTCAGGAGTCCTGCTTAAGGAAAAAAATGCTTTTAAAGTATTTCTTTGCAAAAGAGATCCTTTCTTGTACCCCTGAGTATATATTAATTGGTTATAATCCTTAGTTTTCAGGCACATAATTATTCACACAGCAGCAGGTGATGGATTCACAGGTACAGTTACAACTTCTTTGTACTGGCAAGCGGTCTTTACTGAGAGCCAGAGAGGACCTTTTTGTATAAAGCTCTATGTTCTATAATTAGTTGTGCAGTAAAGAATTCAGATATGTGGCAAAACATGTGCAAGTTCTCAGAAGTTTAACCAACTAGCCTTCAAGTTATCTTCCTGGACATGTAATTACTGTAGGTAATTTAACTTTTGTTTGCTTTCTCTTTTGGTCTATTTTTTCTTGCAGATTATTACTAAACATGTTTATGGACTACTGGAAAAGGAATGCCACTTGAAAAAAATAACTCTCCCAGTAAGTAGAACTATTTTTCAAATATATTTTTCACTTGGATCTCTGAAATGTAGAGATAGTTTTCAGATAGACAGGGGCTCTGTGCAAAGTGTGGTCTCAGAGCACTGATTTCACATGCAGTATGTGTGCACATCTGGAGAAGTGGTTTTGCCTGACTATTAATGTGCCTGATTTTTCCAGCTGAGCCTTCCTCACCTTGCCAGATACCAGATTATTCAGAATGTCCTAATTTTGGTAGAGGAACAGTAAGTTTTTTGAAATGTTGTTTGTCAGTATTTTATAGATGGATTTCCAGAACTAAAGACAGGTGCCTCCAGCAGGCAAACAACCTCAAAGCAGAGTCTCATAAAACTACTCCATGTCTTTTTGTTAAAAAGCACGCAGCTTATAACATGTACGTGCTATAAAGCGCCATTGTTGTTTAGTAAAAATATACGATCACCCTTTAAAAGTGATAAAGCACTCCACAGACAGTGTGAAAGAGTGCATCTGTCTAGAAGTGTATACAGTAACATGATGTTCAGTGAGGAACCATCAGCGTAATTGCTCTGTGTAGATTTTCCATCGCTATTAGAATGGAAGATGAACAAGCTTGGACTAAGTTTCACCATACTGCCATCACGTCTGTCACACGTGTAGTACTTTCTTCTGCTCTGCTCTGAGCTTTTAATATCTAGGTTGGGAGAACTGTTCATTATTTACTCTTTTTCTTTGATTTATGTAGTAAGCACTGGTGTGCTGATGGAGTTAGTTGCAAGTACACTTAAACTATTTTCAAATGTATTGCTTCCAGCTTCTCCTAAGTGTTGTAGTTCTAGTGCATTTTGGAGTAAAGGACAAACTCTCTATGCAGTTTCATTTCGAGCAGTGTGGAAGATTTGTTACAAGGTATAAATAACATGGTTGTTAATTGTTGTTGTTTGTCAGAAGCTCTTTTCACATCAAATACGAATTATGAAGAAGGCTACAAAAATTAAGAAGGTGAAAAATCAAAGTTGTCTAAATACTATGTTTACGTCACCCAGAAGATTTCAAAGTAACATCACAAACAGGCATAGTTTAAATTGGTGAAGGAGGCTGATAGAAACAGTAAGATGGCTTGTGGCAGGATTAAGATGCATTACGTGAGGAAGATAGAGAAGAATGTTATAGCTGCTGTTAAGTTTCATATCACAGTAGGATCACTGAAAAATGAATTTGAGGAGTTGTAGTTGTAATGGCTATTAATAACATAATTCATGAATTTGATAGATGAGCTGCATGCATATGGAATCGTCAGCTCAAATGAGAAAAACAAAAATGATTTTTCTCAATACAGTTTGTCCAGAAACTTCCACGCTAGATGGTTGGTTATTTTTTTGGAAACAGGATGTACTTCTGAGGAACTGTCTTAAGTTGGCATATCAGTGGCAGATATCTTAGAACAAATTGATTTACTGTACAGTAATCATCTTCCTGGATGAGACGGTTTTTAAGCCTACGGTTTTGTAAGAAATCAAATATGAAGCTGCATACAACTAGAATGTAACTTACTGCTTAAATCAGCTTCTCTCAAAAGAGGCATGGAAAAGGGTGAATATGATGGCCTTTGAAAGGGCTCCAGGAGAGATTCCTAGAGTTGTGTATAAGAAAAAATAACATTTTGGGATAAAAGTCAGCACCATTTTTGCTTTAAAAGACCTGCTAGAATTCATCAAAGACCTCAGAGATCACATGAAAAAAAAAATCTTATCAATAGAAGTGTACATGGATTTTCAGCAAGCTGCCAACAAGATTACAGAATGCTTTTAAAGAAAACAATTTCTGACTTTCTGTGTTATGCTTGGTCACACCTTCCCACCTCTTACAGGCAGGATGTGACACACACAAGGTGGGAGTCCCCTTAGGAGTTAATAATTGGCTAATGGGAAAAAATATATATATTTGTACTTTACAGATGAAAGTAGTTGTAACCAATGTGATGTTAGTAAGCTTTGCACTGACATACTAATAAATAAAAAGAAAGAAGGAATTAATAGAACATAAGTAAAGTAGCTGATTTTTCTAAAATGATAATGAATACTTAAATCTAAAGCTGGTTTGGATGATTTTGAGTATTATTTAATGGTAGTGGATGATTAGATGATGAAATGACATGAGATTCAATTCTGGTAAATGTGAAATTGTGAAAAGAAATCACTCTGTAAACACACTGGTGGCCTCTAAATGAGCTATAACTACTCAGGAAAGATCTTGGAGTGATTGTGAATAGCTCTCTGAGAACATCAGTTAGTGCTCAATGGTAGTCAAAAACCCTCAAAGCAAATAGGATGTTAGGAATTATGAACTGTTGAGAACAAAACAGAAAAACATAGTCATTCCACTCATTATGTGGTACCCCATCTTGAACACTGCATGGAACCTGGACACAGTATTAAAAAGAATACGTAGAATTTAAAAAAAAAAAAAAATACAGAAGAGGGTTGCAAGGATGATCACAGGCATGAAATGCTTTTCAGACAAAGAAAGATTAGACAGCTTGGAAAATAGAAGGAATATGACAAATCTATAAAATCATGAAAGGTGTAAAGAAGATGAATAGGGAATGTTTTTTTGCTTTTTTTCATAATAGAGAAGCTAAGGGGCATCAAGCTTAAATTATCAGGCAGGAGATCTCTACTGAAAGAGAGGAAGTACTTTTTTCATATAGATCCCAATTATATTGTGGAACTCATTGATGCAGAATACTGTTAAGGAGAAAGGTACAAATGCATTCAAAAAAAACCATTTGACAGTATTGAGGTGTGACAGCTATAGTGAATTCTTGTGGTCGCTTGTCCAGTAATAAAGCATGTCCCAGGAAGCTCAAAGTGAGAGTTTCTGTAAACATTCTGTTCTCATACTGTTTCACTAATCAACCTGCAAGTTATCAGAAAAAGGATACTGGGACCTTTGGTCTGAATATTGTGAATGTTCTGGTCCTTTTATAAAAATTTCAGAGATAAATATGGAAATATTATTCCTGAACTTTGTCACAGAAAATCAGTAAGTTGGTGTACTGTCTTTTATTTTTCTGTGAGTCATAATGAGGCTGTGAACTGGAGTGCTTTTCCTTCCAAACTACTGAAGTGTACTGAAATTCTATGCTTCACTGACAGCATTTCATGTTCTCCTATTTTCCTTAATTTCCACCTCCTGAATGAAGTCCAACTTTGCTGTCTTTATTTTACTTTCTCAGATGGCATATTCAGTTTTGGAAACAGTTATTTGTAAATTTCCCTTCATATTAAAAAAAAAGGAACAGTTTGGGAATCTGGAAATATTGCCTGTCTTTTTATATCCCTAACATCTATGCCAAATATAAATCCAAACCTTTTTTGATCCAGAGAAGCTTAGATGTATTTTGTGTAGTGTTTCTGTAAAACACTGTAGATTTCTTCATGTTCAATATCTGCTCCTGGACTTGAAAATTTAAATGAAGAGACTCATATTCACGGAGAAACAGTTCAATTACTTCTTTTAAATTTCTCATTTTGTGCTCCATTGAAGGTTGTATTATTAATACAAAAAAGACTGAAGTTTTTTCCTTTTTTTTTTTTCCTTTTTTTTTTAATCCAGATGAAGCTTTTGCATTTCTCTGGTTTAAATAGCATAATCAGTGACTGATCTTTGCTGTTCTTCAGCTGTTGAGGACAAATAGAGGGTGCTTCTGAATTAAATGCATCTTTAACAGCTTCTGGGAATGTCTGAGATAGAAGTTTAAATAATTACTAACATGTTTTATTGACAACTGTACTGAAAGGACTCACTGCGGAGTCTTCTAACTTATCAATGCTTTGCTCTTTCACTTCAGTAGATAAAACTTCATTCAGTAGTTCTCTTGATCTACTAGAAAGTCAAGAATTATTTTTCTCTGAGAAACAACAATCTCTTATCTCCACTGCTTACTCTTATTTGCTGTTTTGTTCCCCAAGTCCAGTTAGTGCTTGATTGTAAAAATGCCACTAGTTTCAGGCGTGTTCATTTGTTTCTGATAATCACCAAATGCTAGTTTGCTGCTCATAGTATTGATCAGCAGTTTTCATTTTGTACTAAATGACTATACTGTACAACTGAAAAATTATAAATCATGCAATTTCATGAATACAGTAATGTGCGTTAGCATGTTTGGGTAGAACTACATAACAGGGAACTTTTTTATCTTGCAACACAAATGAGCAGTTTTCTTCCTCCACCAGGTACTCATAATTCTCAGTCTGTAGAGTCTTTTGTTACATTTATTTTCCCTGTTATTTTCTCCACTCTCAGAGTACATCTGTTTCACCTGTTTGTACACTTGTCCTTACGATTTTTAATGTGTTTCTTAACTAACATAAGAAAAATGTTGAGCTTTTTTTTCCCTTTAGAACTCTAAACTTTAGCTTTCTTGAACAAAAAGATGCCCAATGGACAGCATTAAAGACCTCTAGATCTTCGTCTGCTAATGGCTAAGAACTGAAAATCAAGTTATATCATCAATGTCTTAGGATGAGTGTTAGAATAAGATTAGTTTTCTAGCATATTTTGTTGTTACTCTAAGTACTGATAGCAGCTATGCAAAATAGTAACTATTCTACTATTGAAATATTCTATACACTGACACTAATACATCATGTGATAGCTTATCTGAGATTGAATACTTGAACGGAGCGTATAAACAGGAGGGGGAATGACTGTTTACAAGGGTGAATAGTGCCAGCCCTTGTCCTTGCCAGTCCTTGTCCTCATGGGGAACTTCAGCTTCCCTGACATATGCTGGGAATACAGCACAGCGCAGAAGAAGCAGTCTAGGAGGTTTCTGGAGTGTATGGAGGATAACTTTCTGATGCAGCTGGTGAGAGAGCCTATGAGAGGAGTTGCCCCGCTAGACCTGCAGTTCACAGAGAAGGTCTGGTGGGAGATGTCTTGGACAGAGACACCTTGAAATGGTAGAGTTCTCGATTGTTGGTGGAGCCAGGAGGGGAAACAGCAAAACTGCTACCTTGGACTTCCAGAGGACGGACTTTGAATTTCAGAAGACTAGTAGGGGGAATTCCCTGGGTTTCAGTCTTAGAGAGTAAAGGGGTCCAAGATGGCTGGTCACTCTTCAAGAAGGAAGTCTTACAGGCGCAGGAGCGGGCTGTCCCCGAGCCGCAAAATGAGCCGGCGGGGAAGAAGACAGGCGTGGATGAACAGGGAGCTATTCTTGAGGCTCCAGGAGAAAAAGAGAATCTACCTCCTGTGGAAGAAGGGATGAGCGACTCAGAAAGAGAACAGAGAAGTTGTTAAGATATGTAGACAGAAAATCAGAAAGGCAAAAGCCCAGCTTGAACTTAGCCTGGCCGCTGGGGTAAAAAGGAAAAGAAAAATAAATTTGAGAAAAGTAAAAATTGAACATAATTTTAAGTTCTAAATTATCAGCAAAATATGGATTTGTTTGACATTCCTAGCTACAAATCTTCAGAAGACTGTTATTGCATGGGAATAACAATGTTGAATCAAGTTGTAAAATTAGACTAATTGAATCTGAGCATTTCACTGAACTCATTCAATTTGTCTTTAAACAAAAGATCAGAAATAAGTGTGTGTGAATAGCTACAGAAGAGAGAGTGGCTGATAAAAATAAATTATTTTAAATGTACTCAGTTTGTCTAGCACTAAGTGGCATTCTGCATTGATTTGCCAATAAAATAAGGTTGTGCACAAGAGTGACCTTTATGGGCATTCTTTAGTGAAGGTTGGATTTAACAAATTGTTACTGTTGGAAGAGAAATTAACTTGAGGTAAAGTTTCCAATGGTAATTCAGTTGAAGAGAGGAACAAACAGTTATTTTTTAATAGCTTAATATATTTTTAATTTTTTTTTTATGTTAGCGTAATTGAAAAAGTGTGAAGTTGAAGTGTGTCTTCTAGAATATATGATTATTAGGTACTGATATTTCCTAATTGCTGAGCAGAAATTTAGTTTTCTGAATACTGAAACATACAACCAGGGTATAGCTTGCTGAAATACAAATTTTCAAAGTTTTGACCTAATTATATTATTGTATGCATTCAGTTTGTGTGCAAAAGTCAACTGTATCATATCAAGTACTATTTGAGACTTGGTATTATCTGGCTGTTTACACCTCCCATGCTCAGTTTTAAGATATCTGTACTGGTACTTCAGAAGTAGCTGTGTGATATGACTGTATCCCCAGTATGCAATACAGTTGTACTCATACACTCTTTTTAATTGATTTTTTTTTCATTACATTTTCTGTTTTTCTGTGAAGTGTAGGAGAAGATGAGTACATTTCCTGTTGTAAAGATTGAAAGCTGAGATGCATTAAATGCTTTGTTATTCTGGAATGGAGCATAAGGTCTTCAGCCCTATGGCAGATGCTCAATGTTCTTCCAGTTAGGAATTCATTTTGTTCAAGCAGACTCAATGGCTTTGTGGATAAAAAAAAGAAAAAATAGGCAAGGCATACATTTAAAAAGTCTGGAGATTCATGCAGAATTGATTTTTCCTGAGGGATGGTGAATAGCATATCCAAGTATGAGAGAAAAACTGGAATATTCCAAGCAGCCATTTCCCCTTTCTCAGTGTAAGGCTCGTATCCATCACTACTTCAGAGCTTAAGGCAACCCAATAGTTAGTTTGTGTGGTTTGTGAAGTACAGAGTACAAAAGGGTATAGGGATCCTGATCTACCCTCCCTTTTCATTGTATTCAAGTAGGAGGAAAAGGAAGAATGACCACAAATGTTGCTCTTCTGCCTTGAGCAAGGCTTACAAAGCCAAGTATAGGCCTGTTTTATAGGACTTCTGTTTGTATAGAGCAAAAAAGCACATCTTTACTGTCTACACTAAGAACAAAAGTTGGATTACTGAATATTGAAGGTACTTGTTCCTATAGTAGAGTATCTGAGTCCTGCTGCTGAACTGCTTTAGATCTGGACTGGATTTCTGTATTTTATTAGAGCTATCCTTATTAAACTTATAATAGGCAAATTTGCAATACTGGCATTAAATACGTGGTTTACTGGGTATTCATGGTGACGTGACTGAGATGGAACTCTTGGATGTTGGTTTTTTTTTACCATATCAGACTTTTATTTTTGCTTCAAACATGTAAGAGGTGACAGATTACTTGATTATTGTCTTTTTTTTTCAAAGATTGTTCTTTTATGGACTCTATTTCGCCAGCACTGAGTTGTAAACAACTTTGTTTTAAAGCTGTTCTAAAGCTGTAGCATTCTTTTTGACCACGCACCTTTTTGTTTCTATAATTCAGTTTAAATCATCTGTGTTTAACCATTCAAAGCATTTTTAAGGTTCAAAATTATGTTATATTAGCTTTTGCTTTGTTTTTATTTAGTTCTGGGTACACATTAGCCCATAAAATAAATATATGAATAGCAAAAAAATAAGGTGCAGGTTTTGAAACCAATTCTGGGGGCTAACTTTATAACTACAGATGTTTTTTTAAAATTTTTATTCATGCATAAAAGTCTGTATTGGCTGTAATTGCAGGTTGATGCCACTGAGAATGAACCAAAAAGCTTTATCTTTATGAGTGAAGATGCATTAACAAATCCTGACAAACTGTTGGTCCTAATTCATGGTAATGGCGTTGTCAGAGCAGGTCAGTGGGCTAGGAGACTTATCATTAATGAAGATCTGGACAGTGGCACACAGATACCATATATAAAGAGAGCTACTGAGGTAAGTGAAAGTGTATATATGTACATTTCTGTGTGTATAGGCATGTGTACTGATGTAAGAAGAACTATGAATCTGAAATGTTGTAGTATTTTAATCTGTATTCTACATTTTCTTTATGATCATCTTATTTGTGATGCAAATATTTGATATTTTAAGAACTTTTGTCAAATAGATCTAAGTTTTTCTCTTACAGTACATTTTTTTTTTTTTTTTTTTAGTTTTATATCATTTTGTGGCAGCATTGCCATGTAGTGTAATATGGTATCTAATGTGACAAGAGCCCTTAACAGGCGATGAGATGCAATGCAAGGCACTACAGAAATTTGTTATGATTTGAAGTGTTTTCTTTTACATTTCATTAAATTTGTACATATTCTCACTCAACGTCTGTTGTAATCTCATGATAACATTAGCTTTCATGATAACAGCAGGCTTTTTTGCTAGACTTGTACTGAATTTATTAGAGGCACAGTCTTTTTCAGTTTTGCACTGAATACTGATTCACTGTGATTCACCTATCAATACTTGACAGTTAAAAGCATTTACATTTTATGGACACTATTCTATTGTGGTTTGGTATGTATAGAAGAGACAATGCACAACTTGTGTAATATTTTTAACATGGAACATTGAAGTATAGTGCATCTCTTGCCTCCTACTGCTTTAGTGAAACTTACTGTAGTAAACATTCAAAAAGCCTATTTAAAATTAGCTATTATATTTGTCAAGATGCTTTACCCTTAATATCAGCGTGTTCATTGTGATAGTTGCACATTTTGCTAAGTGAAGCTGAAAATTTTGCAGCTTATGGAATCATAGTATGGGTTGGAAGGGACTGTAGAAATCATCTAATTCCAACTTCTGTAGTGGGCAGGGCTACTACCCAACAGCTCAGGCTACCCAGGACCCCATTGAATCTGTCCTTGAGCATGTCCAGGGATGGGATACCCATGGCTTCTCTGGGTAACTTTTTCCAGGGAGTTAGTCACCAACCTCTGAACAAAGAATTTCTTCCTCATATCTAATATAAATTTCCTCTTTTAATTTAAAACTGTACCCCATTGTCTCATCCTTATCTGCCCATGTAAAAACTTGGTCTCCCTCTTGTTTATAGACTCAATTTAAGTACCAGAAGGCTGCAGTGAGATTTCTCCAGAACTTTCTCTTTTCCAGACTGAACAAGTCCAGATCCCTTAACCTTTCTTCCTATGAAAGGTGCTCCAGCCCTCTGAACATCTCAGTGGCCCTCTTCTGGATCCCCTCAAATAGGTCCATGTTTTTCTTGTGTTGGTGGCCCCAGTACTGCAAATGGGGCCTCACAAGGGCAGAGGACAGTCACCTCCCTCCCTCTCCCTGTGTCCACCCCTCTTTTGATGCAGCTCAAGATATAGTTGGCCTTCAGGAGACAGGTAGCTACATACCATGTTTACCTTCCTTTAACATAAAACAATTTAAATCAAGACTCAAAGGCAAATGGAAAAGCACTTAGAAGCTTCTGTAGTACAGTACAGTTTTTTGGTAGGTCCGGTTTGGAGATTAATTTCAGGAGCGCGAGTTCCAGAACTTTTTCTAAGAAAGCTGGAGTGCTGTAGTTGCATAAATTTTAATAATGGTGCTTACATGCCTACACTTTTTTGTTCCCTAAAGATGATGCTGTTGTGGCTAACATAAGATGTTGAGCATTTTGGGGATAATATCTCTAAATTAATGGAAAATCTTGAAATCTATATTTCTAGGAAAGGAGAATTCTAGATTCTTTTTTCTGCCTGTTATGAACATAATGTCATGATTGTGTCAGTGGAATAGAGGGAAGAGCTCTGTTCCCTCAAGCTTACAACCTTAAAAACAGGCTTTGTATTTCTGCATTTTGAGTACTTCTTTAAAAATCACAGCAAAGCAACAAAAGTGGTTTCATGACAAAGTATCTTCAACATTGTAACCATGTGATCACATCAGGACCTTGGTCTTGCTTTTATCTTTAGATTTTCTTCTTTAATGTGTTGGATTTTTGATTTGTAATGCACTTCAGTTGAATAATTCCAACTCTTGCAATAGCCACTCTGCTCTTTTGTCCATCCTAAAATTGTGGCAAGTATACTGTGTAGAGCACATACTATCTGCAGTGATTTTTATTACGTAAAATCAGCTATAGAGCTTATCAAATTGTATTGTTTTAAACACACTGATATTGTTGGTATCATGGTATCTCACTGTAGTGAGAACTGAAAGTCTGTCTGGTTACATAAGGCAATATCAATAGAAGTCAAACCCTGCTGAAGGGACTTGGAGTCGTCATATTATGACTTAAAAAAAAAAAAAAAAGACAGGTCATTACTTCTTGTACAGATTGTATAAATTACTTTTCCAAGTGCAGGAAGTTATGGTAGAATGAGTATAAAGGTTCCAATTTTAGTTAATAAAAATTTTGTCCTTTTCTGGGTTTTCTGGTATTCAGTCATCTAGTTGATTTAGGCATTTCTATCACGTATGAAATGAAAATAACTGACCTAGATAGTAAATGGCCTGAATGAAAATTGTGATAGCTCCTCATACAGTGTTGCCAGTTTGAAGGAAGGAATTATATTCCTTGATATTCTAGTGTTTCTTCTTAGAAGAGGTCTCATTTTTGAATGAAACCAATAGACCTTATCAAAGTGTAAGATTACAGTGCTGATGAGAGGAGAACTTGGATTTTATATATATATAATAAACAGTGAATTTGAAGTGGCTAATCGTATCTAGGATTTGAAAATTCCTGATTTGTGATGAGTGTGAAACATGTGCATGTAGCTTAAAACATTTGCTGGCAACTAGGTTTTCATTTGCAAATGTTCATTTACTGTTGTGAGCACCACAATGTTTGAGAGACCTAAAACTATGAGAAAGCATCCAGGAATGCTATGAAGATGGTGAAGGGTCTGAAGGACAAGTTTTATGAGGAGCAGCTGCAGTCCCTGAGCGTGCAGTGAACAGAGCAGAGGAGCTGAGGGCAGCCCTCATGGCGGCTGCAGCTCCTCACAAGGAGCGGAGGGCAGCGCTGAGCTCTGCTCTGTGTGACAGCCACAGGGCCCGAGGGAACGGCATGGAGCTGTGTTAGGGGAGGGGAGCTGGGGGTCAGGGAAAGGGTCTGCGCCACAGGGCGGTGGGCATGGAATGGGATGCTCAGGGTGGGGGGCATGGCCCCAGTGCTGGAGTTCCAGGAGTGTTTGGACACTGCTCTCAGACACAGGGTGTGCATTTTGGGTGGTGCTGTGTGGAGCTGTGAGATGGTCTCAGTGGTCTTTATATGTCCTTCTAACTTAGGATATTCTGCGATTGTACTAAACATGGTTTAATCCAGCAGGCAGTTATGCACTACACAGCACTTGCCCATTCTCCTCTCAATGGCATGGAGGAGAGAATCAGAAAAAGGTGAAACTCACTGGCTAAGATAAAGGCAATTTAATAAGACAGAAAAAGATGGAAAACAATAATATCAATAAAAATATATGTGTACTAAAAAGTGATTCACAGTGCAGTTTCTCACCACCCACCAATTAATGCCCAGCCAGTCCCTGAGTAGCGACCCTCTCCACTCCACCAGCTCCTCTGCTTTTATAGTTTCACATGTCATAGAGTATTCTCCCATTTGAGGAAAGACTTGGAGACCTGGGTCTGTGCAGCCTGCAGAAGAATGAGGGAGAATCTTATCAGTGATCATAAATATCTAGTAGATGGGAGTCAAGAAGATGAAGCTCTTTTCAGTGGTGCCCATTGTTAGAACAAGGGTCAACAAACAAAAACTGGAGCACAGAAAGTTCCAAAACATGACAAAAAACTTCCCTACCCTGTGGGTTATGGAGCACTGCAACAAACTGCCTGGAGAGGTTGTGGAGTCTCCTCTGGAGATATTCAAAACCTGCCTGGATCACTGCTTTTCAGTGTATCCTACTGTAGGGAACCTGCTTTAGTGGGTTAGACTAGATGATCTGCAGTGGTCCCTTCTAAACCCTACAATTTTGTGGTTCTGTGACTTACAACATACGTTTGCAACACCTCTACTTCCCTTCAAATAAAATAAAAACTAAAGTCATAGGTCAAAAACATATCTTTTTCTTTGCTGCTTTCCTCTTCAGACAGTGATGGAACTACCACAAGCAAGTTTCTGTTTATTTCTTGGAAAAACTGAAAACAGGCATGCAAAAATATGGATATATCAGTATACAGTGGATTTAGCTCTAATATCCAGAAAATTAAATGAAGGGAAAAGAGTAGAAGAAACTATTTCTTTCTGGCACAACACTTTCAAAAAGAAGAAAGAAGGAAAAAAAACAACCTATAATAAAATGTGTGTGAAATCAGGGAGAAATGGAAGGGCTTAAAATTTATCAGACTTCTAGTGGCTTGGGGCTGATACATACTGGAAAGAAAAGATCCAAGGAGAAATATCCTAATGGGAATTCCAGTAGCTAGAAATCTTCTTTCTTTTCATCTGAGTGGTTCCTGTAGGTAGCACTTCTTCCATCTTTTATATCAAACTGTATTGTGTAGATTCAGTCCTGTGTGTAATATGTGTTGGAAGTAGTTTACAAGGTTTATATGAAAAGGAAGTAAGATTGATGTACAAAATTAGAAAATCAACTTAGCGTAAAAAAAGGGATTTTCTCTCATAGTGTAAAAGAGTGAAAAAGAGAAGAAACAAGTGATAGGATAGAGAATGCACGTAGAATGTACAGAATGTTAGAGACATGTAAATAAAAAAAATTAAATTATAATGCAATACTGAACTATTCAGTTTTTATACATAAACAGATGTAAATCAAAGGAGGAATTTCAACCTCTTACACATTTTGAGTAAATATCTGATTCACTGTCTCATAGAGTCAGTCTTTTCTCCATCACTTTTTATTTAGATGTATATACAGTAACTGAAGCAGAACCAAGAAGAGACAGTGAGAGACAGTGCTAAGTTATTTAGTTCACTGATTAAGGAGTTTATTTGGGGTGTCAAAAAATAACAT